AAGATCTACTCTTCTGTATTTCCTATCTCCATATTCAGCACAAATATCTACTACCTTCCCAAGTCAGAAATCTGGGAGTCATCTTATCCCTCCAACTCCTGTCACATCCACAACAAATATATCTCTATTTCCTATTGATTCTACTTTTTAAAAGTATACTTAAATCCTATAGCTTCTCCATCTCCACTGACAACATTTCAGTTCAGGCCCTCGTTAAACTTTTAGAATCCTATAATAACCTCCTAATTTTCTCATGACTCAACTCTTGCTCTTCTCCAATTTATTTGTATGCATTGGTCCCAAGCGATCCTTATAAAATGCAAATCTCCTTGCCTTTCTTCTCAGCTTAAAAGTCATCATTGCGCCCTGCGATATTTTTAAAAAGATTTAAATTTAAAAATTTAAAATTTTAAATCCAACATTTTTAGTTTGGTTCCAACAATTCTTCATGATCTGTTCTTTGCCTCTCTTGCATATGTACCTGACACGATAGCCATGGTGAGCTACTTGGGCCTACCATATAGTTTCATTCCTCTGGGCCTTTACACATGCTGCTTGCCTGGGCATGCCTGCAGCGGACAAAAGGCCCACAGGCACTGGGAGAATGGGGTGGAGCCACCGGGAATTCACACTTTATGCAGGGGAGGAGCCTGGCCTCTTCAGCTTCAGTATGGTGGCCCTGGTATTCAATTGGGGAGATGGAAATCTGCTTTCAGGACCTCCTCTCTTTGCTGAGAGGTTTCTTTTTGCTTAATAAATTCTGCTGTCCTCATCCTTCAATGTATTCATGTGCCTAATTCTTCCTGGTCATGAGACGAGAACCCAGATTAGCTGAGCTAAGGAGCAAAAAATCCTGCGTCATTACCAGGCAGCTGTCCACATAATTACTGCCCACATCCTAATGGGAATAAAATATCCACGCCTACCTGCAGAGCACACAGGAGAATGTACTTTATTCTGGGCAACCACATAACCAGCTAACAGATGATATTTCTGTTAATACAGAAGAAGAGAGGGATGGATATTGGGAGACTACAATGAGTGTGTAGTAAAACCAATGAAATACCTGACTCATTGAGAGCAATATAAAAGCCTGGTTTAAAAGTTCAAAAAATCAGGTCATGTTGCGCCAATCCTCCTACTGCAATAACTGGAAAAGGCCAAATAAATTGCAAAAAATATATTTCTAAAAGTGTTAGCAAACTGTGGAAGCAATGAGAACTGTATTGGTCTGCTTAGGCAACCATACATAACAAAATACCATGGACTGGGGGATTTAAATAACAGAAATTTATTTTATCACAGTTCTGGAGGCTGAAAGTTGAAATCAGCGCCAGCGTGGTCTGGTTTTGGTGAGAGCTCTCTTCCTGGCTTGCAGATGGCCACATTCTCTTGCTATGTCCTCACATAGCCTTTCCTCAGTGTGTGCACATGATTAGAGAGAAAGCAGAACTGTCTAATATCTCTTTTACAAAGGCACCAATCCTACCGTGAGCCTTTACCCTGATGACCCCATTGAAACCCAACTACATCTGCAAAGCCCCATCTCTAAATACTGTCACATGGGGGTTAGGGCTTCAACATAGTAGTTTTGGGGGAACACAGACATTGCATCCCTAACAAGGACTGTATGAATATCATGAATTCATCGAACTTTCCCAGATAATTTGTCAGTCACCAGCTGTTCTTTCCTTGGAGACATGTGTTGCTCTTGGGTACAGGATGAAAGTCTGGCTTAGCCAAAGTGGAGAGCTTCTACTGGGAAAATAAGGGAAACCAGTAAGTCTTCAGTGGTTGCATGAACTGGAGTAACAAATTGGAGATTGGGAAGCCTCAAAAGCACAGTAAATTCTGGAACTATGAGAAATTTGTGAGTTAGGCTAAAGCCTTCTAAAAAGTAGGTGAAATTTTGTGGAATTTTACATACTAAGGAAAAAAGATCAACTAAGGGAGGGTCTTGTCTCAAGCACATAGCTGTTATCTACATCAAGATGTTTGCAGATTTGGAGCTGTGTTGCAGTGGGGGTGAAGTGGATGGAGAAGTCCAAGAACTGGGCTTTGAAGATCAGATAGAGCTCAATCTTCTATGGGTAATTGTCTTGAAGAGTTTTACCGGCCAGGGATGGTGGCTCACGCCTGCAATCCCAGCACTTTGGGAGGCCAAGGCGGGAAGATCACCTGAGGTCAGGAGTTCAAGACCAGCCTGGCCAACATGGCAAAACCCCATCTCTACTAAAAATACAAAAAATTAGCTGGGCGTGGTGGCGGGTGCCTGTAATCCCAGCTACTCAGGAGGCTGAGGCAGGAGAATCACCTGAACTCAGGAGGAGGAGGTTAGAGTGAGCCAAGATTGTGCCACTGCATTCCAGCATGGGTAACAAGAGCAAAACTCCATCTCAAAAAAAAAAAAAGAAAAAAAAAGAGTTTTACTAAGAAGTAATTTCCATGCACTCATTTTAAGTGTACACTTCAAATGATGAGTTTTGACAAATGTACATACATATGCAACCACCACCACAATTAACATGTAAAACATTTTCATCACCCCTGCACTGCAAATTCTCATGTATTTCTTTTCTGTTGTTGCTTCTGTTACCCACTCCTAAACCCAGGAAAGTACCACTCTATTTTCTGTTACTATGAATTAGTTTTGCTCTTTCTAGAATGTCATATAAATAACATTTTATAAAGCATGTGCTCTTTCATGTCTGGTTTCTTACAGTCAACATAATAGTTTTGAGATTCACCCATGTTTTGTAGGTAAAAGTTGTTTGTTCCATTTATTGCTGAATAATATTTCATTGTGTGTGCTGTGCATTTTCTTGTTGATGTAATTTGGACTGCTTCGAGGTTTGACCATAATGAATACAGTTGTTTTGAACATTTGTATAAAAGTGCTTTATGGACATAAATTTTCATTTCTCTTGGGTAAATACGAAAGAGTAAAACAGCAATATTACATGGTAAGTATAATTTTTTACATGACGAAATTTTGTCATAAGTGGTTATTTTCATCTTAGACTCTCAACAGCAATGTGTGAGTTCCAGCTTCTCCACAAATTCACCAATATTTGGCATTAAAAATTTTAGCCATCGTAGTGGATGTGTAGTGGTATCTCCTTATGATTTTAATTTGCATTTACCTATTGACAAAAGGTAATCTTTTTATGTGTTTTTAGCCAATCATGTATCTTCTTTTGTAAAGCATCTATTTCCATCTTTTCCCCATTTTTATGAGATTTTTTACATGGATAAATAGATTATAATATTGTAAATAATAAGTAGATTAAATTATAAATAAAATATAATCTAAAATTTAATAATTATAATAGATTAAAAATTTAATCTAAATTATAGATTATCAAAGATTTATATTATATATTTATAATATAAAAGAAAAGTATTAGCAATGCATGCATCTGACAAAAAGTTTGTGTACAGAACATGTGAATATGTATATATAAAAGTATATGTGCATTATTAATGTATGTATACACACAGACACATGATACATATATGTATGTTGTATGTATGTATATATACACACATGGATACACACATATATTCTGTACACAAACTTTTTGTTAGATGTATGTGATACAGACAGGAGGCAGGGAAATACTGGGTAGAAGAAGGTGACTGCCCAGCAAAGGCCCCACCCTCAAGCCTGGAAACACACAGCCCTAAATGAGAACAGGCATTCCTGTTTTTGTATCCAAATCTTGCCTTTTGACCCCCATGCCCACTATCATGTACCCATATAAACCCCAAACCACAGGATCTACGAGGACACCAGCAGAAGAGCAGCAGAGCAACATGGTAAAGAGGGAGAGAAGGAAAGGAGCATCTGAATATAAAGAGGAGTTTGGCTGGGGATGGTCAGAGAGGAGGTCAGCCACAGGACAGCTGAACTCGAGGGTAAGATCATCTTCCCACTCCAATCCCTTTCCAGATTCCCATCTCTCTCACTGAGGGCCACCTCCACCATTCAATAAAATCCCCACATTTACCATTCATCAAGTCCATGTAACCTGATTCTTCTTGGATGCCAGACAAGGATCTGGGTACCAAGAGGGCAATGTGTAAAAGGCTATCACCCTAACTCTTCACTGAGCTGGTTTAACATTTAGCCATCCATGCATGGCAAATGCTAAAAGAGCATTAATCATAACATACCCCTAGATGCTATGATGGGGCAGGAGCCCAAAAGTGCTTACCCTAGCTCCTGCACCTGCCCATCTTCATGCTCCCCTTCCTGTAAGGTGTTTGAGTTTGTGGTGGCAGAGCAAGCGAACCACGCCCTTGTCACAAGTTCCAAGAAGGGGTCAGTGAACTCTCCTGTTCCATATGCATTATTAATACTTTCTTTATTCATATAGTTTGCCTTTACATTTTCTTAATGCTGTCCTTCAAAACTCAGAAGTTTAAAATTTTGATGAAGCTGAATTTATCCCTTTTATTTTACTTTTATTTAAATTTTTTTTAATTATTATTTTTTCAGCTTTTATTTTAGATTAAGTGGGTACACGTGCAGCTTTTTTACTTGGGCATATGGTGTGATGCTGAAGTTTGGGATTTTTTAATAGTTAGTGTTTTTTGTGTTCTAAGAAATCTTTGCCCACTCCAAGTTTGTGAATATTTTATCTAATATTATCTTCTAGAAGTTTTATGGTTTTAGCTTTTATATTTAGGTCTATAATCCACTACAAGTTAATTTTTTGTTTACAAGTTAATTTTTTGTGTACAACATGAGTTAAGTGTCCACTTTCATTTTTTATGTGAAAATACAGTTGTTATTAGCAGCATTTGGGGAAAAAACTACCCTTTTCTATGTAGACTACTTTGTCATATTTGTTGGCAGTTAATTCTATATATGTTTTGTTTTGAATTCTGCATTCTGTTTTATTGATCTTTACACCAATACCACACTATATGTAGCTGTACTAGTCAGGGTTCTCCAGAGGAAAAAAAAAATCAGTAGAAGATAGGTAGACAGATAAGTATTTTATATACATACATATGAATATATTTATTTTAAGAAATTAACTCAAGTATTTGTGAAGGCTGACAAATTCCAAGATCTGCAGTTGTTAAGCTGAAAACCCAAGAGAGCCAATAGTGCAGTTCTAGTCCACAGAACAGCAGATCAAGACTCAGGAAGCGCTGATGTTTCAGTTCAAGTCTGAAGATGGAGAAAAATGATGTCCAAGTTCAAAGGCAGTCAGGCAAAAGGAATACCTCCTGATTCATTGTGAGTTAATTTTTATACACGGCATAAGGTAAGGGTCAAGTTTTTTTTTTAAGTCAAAGCAAGTTTATTATGAAAGTAAAGGAATAAAAGAATGGCTACTCCATAGGAAGAGCAGTGGTGTTCTGCTGTTGCCCATTTTTACAGTTATTTCTTGTTTATATGCTAAACAAAGGGTGAATTTTTCACGAATTTTCTGGGAAAGGGGTTGGCAATTCCTGGAACTGAGGGTTCCTCCCCATTTTAGAACATGTAGGGTAACCTCCTGACATTGCCATGGCATTTGTAAACTGCTGTGGTGCTGGTGGGAGTGTAGCAGTGCAGACAACCAGAAATCACTTATGTCACCATCTTGGTTTTGATGTTTTGGCTGGCTTCTTTACTGCAACCTGTTTTATCCACAAGATCTTTATGACCCGCATCTTCTGCTGATCTCCTATCCCATCCTGTGACTTAGAATGTCTTAACCTCTTGGGAATGCAGCAGCCCAGCAGGTCTTAGCCTTATTTTACTTAGCCCCTATTTGAAATGGAGTTGCTTTGATTCAAATGCCTCTGACATTTCCCCCCTCCCTGTTATAAAAGAACACTTAATCCTAAAGGTTGTAGAGAGATGAAGATCCATTTTCTGTAACTTCTTCAGGCTGAATAGGGGTGATAATATTCCAGCCTAACTACTGAGTCTTTTGCCTTCAAGGTAGAGAAGAGCTCATTCAGAAAGTGTTGGTATGGTGAGGGTTATTTGTAACTGAGTTCCAACAAAAGATGGTATCTGGAAGAGGAATAAGAGTTCAATTTAAGAAAACATTCAGCAAACATATCCTGCATTCCTACACAAAGAGTACAACAGCAATATATTCCACAACCATAAAGCAAAATAAGCAAAATTACCCCAAATAAACAAAATTAGAGGCTTTCCATGAACTGGGCAATTGTTGGAACCAACCCGATATGGGGTTGTTAGCTGATTCCAATCTGTGTCCAGAATAAGAATATTGATCTGGATTTTATATTACCCACCCCTCTTGTTTCTTCTGAGCAACAGCCAGAGATCACTGGTTGGTTAACAGAAATAAGAAGAGTTAGTCTAAATTGCAGAAAAAATTCAAAAACAGTGAATGAGACTAGAATCTAGTAATAGTTGTACCATAGTTCTTGAAACAATTTTTTTCTCTCTCCAGTTTCCCATTTTTACTAAAGACCAATCACAGTAAGACTGATTTACTTTATTATACTTGGCCTGATTATTCATACTAAGTGCAGCAAGAATAAGTATTTTTCACATAGGCTTTCTAAATTGGCTTTGATAGAACTCTGTTTTATAAGGAATCCCAGATAAGACTTTTTTCTAAAGCTGAGCCCAGCCGTGGGTTTGTACACTATAATATCTATTATTGGGTAAATTCCTTTCCTTGTCAGGTTCCAAGATAACTTGGGGGCTCCTGGGACTGTTAAAAAGTGACATTCTTTACTCATCCCAGGTTAGGAACACTACACAGAGACTGCGTAGACAATATATAAGGCCAGTGTTTCCAAGGGGCTTTTATTGGCTCTGTAAGTCAAGTTTGATTTCTTAAAAGAAAGCACACCATTCCAGTAAAAGCCTTGGTAAAAGAATCAGTTTTCCCAATTGTGTCCTGTTACAAATGAAAACAGATTCTTATTGCACTAATGCAAATAACTTTATTTCCATAAGTTAAGAATACTCACAAATAGTTTCCAAATTCTGGAGAAATTAGGTAGAGAGAAACAAATAGGCTCCAAATTTTGTTCACAGGAGTACACTTTACTTAATTGTTAAAGGTTGTTTTCCTGACTCAAAAGAAAAGTTTTCCTGACTCTGAAAAACAAAACAAAGGATAAGCAAAATTTTAAGCAAAAAGTTAGAAAAGACTACTTCAGTCTTCTATTAGTACAGTCTGTGCAGTTAACTTCTGTTCTGCTTGATATTCATGAACATTTCAGCTCACCATGAGAGTCCTGAAAGTTTTTCCTCTATTCTGATGTCACAATCTCCAAAGTCATCAAAAATCTGCATTCAAAAACACCTGTCAAAGTCTTATAGCTGACTATAAACCACCTTTTAAAGAGGATCAAAACAAGACAATTGTTTGTGGATGACAAAAAGTCTTAGGACAGCCACTATTAAAGCCACAGTTGACAAGGATATTTTGGTTACTTCTATAGCATACAAAAATTTTACATAACAACTATAATTATTCATAACATAAACTATATCAGGATTGTAGGAGTTTCTCATATTTTGGAACACATACGATAACATATTTAAACAAATACAGCCCAAAGAAAGCCAAACACCATTTTATATTTGACAATGTTTCCTGTATGATTTTTATACCAAATAAGCCAAATTTCACCTTTATATTAGTGTACTATTAATGTTAAACCCAATTCTTAATAAAGCTTTACAGACAAATCCATCCAATTGTAATGTTTGACCATAAGGTAAGATTTTCATTAATCTTCTAAAACCTTTACAAATTTTTGTTAAAGAGCAAACCAGTGCTGTCAGAAAAATCTGTTGTGCTTTTTTTTTTTTTTAATTTTTTTTTTGAGATGGAGTCTCGCTCTATCGCCTAGGTTGGAGTGCAGTGGTGCAATCTCGGCTCCGCCCCCTGGGTTCACACCATTCTCCTGCCTCAGCCTCCTGTGTAGCTGGGACTACGGGCACCTGCCACCACGCCTGGCTAATTTGTTTTTTGTATGTTTAGTAGAGACAGGGTTTCACTGTGTTAGCCAGGATGGTGTTGATCTCCTGACCTCGTGATCTGCCCATCTCGGCCTCCCAAAGTGCTGGGGTTACAGGCATGAGCCACCGTGCCCAGCCTGTTGTGCTTTTATTTTAATGTTCAGTTTACAGAAAAACTAAATAATACTCCTTTAACTTTAGCTAATATGTTCACATACAGAATTTATTTTACACTATTAATTTTTCACAGACCTTCCACAACTTGTTTAAACCTTCAGCTTTATCCTATCTAACTTAAAATAATTCTTTAACCCTTTAGGCAAAAAAATTTACATTCCCATGACTTCTTATAATCTTTTACCAAAAACACATTTCACTTTTCTTAAATGCTCTACATGTAGAACTCTTTCTATGCCCAAAAGATTACTTAAGTCATGTGATCTAAAAGACATAACAGTTTTTACTTTTCTGACAAATATTTTATTTAAGCACTTATTATTATTCTTATTTTTTTTGAGACCGAGTCTCACCCTGTCACCCAGGCTGGAGTGCAGTGGCTCAATCTCGGCCTACAGTACCCTTTGCCTCCCTGGTTCAAATGATTCTCCTGCTCCAGCCTCCGAGTAGCTGGGATTACAGGTACCCACCACCACACCTGGCTAATTTTTTGTATCTTTAGTAGAGATGGGGTTTTACCATGTTGGTTAGGCTAGTTTCAAACTCCTGACCTCAGGCAATCCTCCCGCCTTGGCCTCCCAAAGTGCTGGGATTACAGGCATGATCCACTGTGCCTGGCCATTATTACTTTTAAGCCAATTAATCACAGCTTTTCCATATCACACATGCAACACATGTGAACACACAGAAAAATATTCAGTAGTTGTAAGATTTTTCATTTGCCAGTTTCTAATTTTCTCTTTAAAGCATGCAATTTCTAGGGCCTAATAAGCAGGCACAGCTGGAAGGCAAAACAGATGCCAAAAAATTAAGGGTCCCATTTTTATACCAGATCCTAGATCCCCAAAAGAGGGAATTAGCCCATCTCCCATGGGAGTCTTATCTCTTAGTGAGGGAATATGTCCATACCTTCCAGGCAGCCAGGAGCATGCTTCTCTGATCCAAGCATGCAAAGAGCCATGCATCCCCCCATAACTGCCATTAGCTATCCTTAAAAGTATATTTCTTACCTAGTTATTACACACCAAAGTTCTCTCATGATGTGAAGTAATTTCTGATACCCCAAATGTTAAAAAAATCAAATAATGCAATGCAAAACAGAAGAAAAATTTTAGATTTTGAGAGGAATCTAACCACTTTCAATTCCTAGGGTTTCATGAGGAAAATGAGTTTTCCCCAAGGAGTCCCACACCATTTGAGCTTGAATATCCACTTTTAATTAAGCTGATTTTTTAGCCATAGCACTTGAAAAAAAAAAGTTCTTTTAAATTATCCAACTTTAGCCATGCCAAACGGCCAATATTTCTGGCTTTTGAACTTTACCAACGATAACTTCCCAGGTGCTTAGAGAAAGGAAAATTCAAAGTGGTTCATAGAGGAGGAGAAAAAAAAATGGTAAAGGTCACACAGATATCAAACCAGAAAAGGACTCATTCTCTAAACTGGGAATTGAAACCAGGTTGCCATTGTAAAATGGCAAACTTTAACTGCTGAGCTACAGCATTGGGCAGTTTCCATTACCCTTTCCAGGAGGGGCCTAGAGGTGGCCAATTTTGAGCTTGCAATGGTTTTTAACTGCTGAAGATAATTTTTAGGGCTGACATAAACCCCCAGTTCCTGTCCTCCAGATGTCAGAGACTAAGAGGAAGTACCACTACATGGTTACAAGGTCAAGATCCCAATAGCATTTTTCAACATGTTCTCTCTGGGCTAGATGGTCACCCTGAGTAACAGAAACAGTAGAAAGAGAAAGGAAAGAAAGGGAGAAAAACATTGCTGGTGGCAGGGTGGGGAAGGCAAGGTGCTCAGGAAGGCCAGATAAAGACCCACCCACTGCAGCAACACTGAATCAAAAGTTCAGGCAGCTGCTTGTTGGTCATGAAGGGATATTTTCCAGCAATCCTGTCAGCTCTCAAGTTCCCCGTTTTGGGAAGGAAAAAGCTCCCCATGCCCCATGATCCTGTACTTGCCTAATCCTGTCATCCACAGCCATCAGCAAAGTGTGCAAGGCAGATCAATACAAAGAGAACAGTGGTTAACATTCTATAAGGCCAAATTCGTTCTTAGCTGCAATGGACTTTACTGAGAGGGATCTCCAACTCCTTAAATCTTAGGAAGGACTCTAACCTTCCTAAGTTGGGCCTCAAACCCAAGTTCAGTCAAGTGTCCTTGTCTTTCATAAAGAAAGGCTTTTAACCCTCTATGTCTTAGGAGAGACTCTAAATCCCCTAAGTTGGGCTTCTAACCCAATCCCATCATTTACCTGGGTATGCCACCACTTATCCAAAGTTGGCCAATCAGTGCAGCAGTCTATTTCCTCTGGGTTGGAGATCTCCTCAGTGTAGCCTCTTTGTGATTTTCCAGAAAGATGTTACTGGAAGGGGGTCCCAATTCCAGACCCCAATAGAGGGTTCTTGGATCTTATGCAAGAAAGAATTTGGGGTGAGTCCATACAGTAAAGTGAAAGCAAGTTTATTAAGAAAGTACAGGATCTGTTCCAATTTTTTTGGACAAAAAAAAAAGTAGGCTGGGTGTGGTGGCTCATGCCTGTAATCCCACCACTTCGAGAGGCTGAGGTGGGCAGATCACTTGAGGTCAGGAGTTCGAGACTAGCCTGGCAAACATGGTGAAACTCTGTCTCTACTGAAAATACAAAAATTAACTGGGCATTGTGGTGCCTGTAATCCCAGCTACTTGGGAGGCTAAGACTGGAGAATCACTTGAACCAGGGAGGGGAAGTGGCAGTGAGCCAAGATCATGCCACTGCACTCCAGCCTGGGCAGCAGAGTGAGAACCTGTCTCAAAAAAATAAACAAAAAAAAAAACAAAAACAAAAACAAAAAACTAAAAGAATTGGTACTCCACAGGCAGAGCAGTCAGGTTTTTTTTTGTTTTTGTTTTTTGGTTTTTTTCAACTTTTGGAATACAGTTGGAAATGCACCATTTTTGGACAAAGGTACCATTTTTGAAGTAAATTATGTTGCCACTTTTGTTGATGTGTTGATGTCTTAGCTTATTTGTGTTGCTCTAAAGAAAAACCTGAGGCTGCTAATATATATATATATACTTATAAAAACTGTATTTGGTTCATGATTCTGATGGTTGGATATTTCATGATTGGGTATCTGCATCTGGTGAGGGCCTCAGACTTCTTCCACTCATGGCAGACAGCAAAGGGGATCTGATGTGTGCAGAAATCACACAGCAAGAGAAGAAGCAACAATTGTGTATGGGGATGTGGGGAAGCTCTTAATAACCAACTTTTGTGGGAATTAAGAGAAAGAGAACTCCAGGCATTAATCTATTCATGAGAATCTTCCCCTATGATCCAAACACCTCCCATTTGGCCCCTTCTCCTGATACCACCATACTAGGGACCAAATTTCACTATGGTTTGTTTTTGGAACAAAGTATATAAAAACCATAGCAGGCCAGGTGCAGTTGCTCAGGCCTGTAATCCCAGCACTTTGGGAGACCAAGGCAGGCAGATCACTTGAGGTCAGGAGTTTGAGACAAGCCTCGTCAACATGACGAAACTTCGTCTCACTAAAAATAAAAAAAATTAGCTGGGCATGGTGACAGGTGCCTGTAATTCCAGCTGTTTGGGAGACTGAGGCAGGAGAATGGCTTAAACCCACGAGGCAGAGGTTGCAGTGAGCTGAGATCTCACCACTGCCCTCCAGCCTGGACAACAGAGCAAGACTCCATCTCAAAACAAACAAACAAAATAAAACAACATAACATCTGACAAGCAACTGATCCTACATATGTTCTGTTTTAGAACTCTACATTCTGTTTCACTACCACACCATATGCAGCTTTATAGCAAATCTTGAAATAAGCTAAAGTATTTCAACAGTGTTCTTTTTCAAAATCATTGAACAATTCTAGGCCCATTGCATTTTCATATAAATGTTTCGGTCTGTCAATTTTGTATTGAATCTATGGATCAA